GGGGGGCAGGAGGGGCAGCTACCCCTCTTGCCCTTTACCAGGAGGGGCAAGTGGGGCTAAGGTGGCCTTTGATTAAAGGAAAATATTTGTTATTAATACAAAGAATTCGTTCTTGTTATTATAGAACTATGTAAACTATTTGATACAACAAACCTTTGCTGGAAAACTGTAAGAAATGTATGGAAATTAAGTTTATATGATTCCAGTGTTGTTCCAATTTGCTGTTAACGTGCGTGTCACCTCATATTTTTCGCAAAGACCTCCGAAAAAAAATTTGGCCGAGAAGGAGGGCGAAGTTGAAATAATTGTAAAGCGATAACAATATATAAAAAGTAAAATTACTTGAAAGAACTTGATGTAAACGAGCCTCTATATAGCTCAAATTTCGCATACGACAACAGTCATTTTGGGCATTTTTGGCTGAATTCTTTTGTGCCAGAAATGCAGTCATTGAGCTTCAAAAATATCAAAATCCTGTGGGAGAGAACCGCAGACCTCCCTATTCTTTACAAATCAGAAACGTGATTATGGCAGCGTTAAACTCCAGATGTTTCGTAAACGTCCTTTAAAAGTGCCTTTCGACGAAAGTATGCCCCCTTTGCCCTCTCGTCGTTCCGGCGTCCCTGGGTATTTAGATGGAAAATATGAGCGGACTGCGGAAGATTATATACAATTTGGTTAGAGGTTCGATTCCTGGGTCGTTGGGCCATATACAAAGTCATGGGTGACTTCGTTTGGTTGAAGTGCAAAAATTCAGAAGCTGAAAGAAAGAGCTGCAGAAAAGTTTATTCCGGGGAGGTTTGAAAATAATTTTTTCGGACATTAATTTAAAAAAAAGGGTCGAAAAAATTTTCCCCGACATAAACCAGTTAAATTAAGGGTCAAAAAAATTTTCCATACAAATTCCTGTTAAAACACGGACACGGGTGAAACCCTTATTTTTGGACCAATATCTGTAAAATTTAGGTCTATAAATTCTATTCAATTCCCTCTGAGACTAGCCCTGTAAGTTACTTAACTCTACATACTATTATTTAAAATCTTTGATTGCCCTGCCAATCCAGATGATTCTCCATACCCCCCCCCCCTCTCAAGTTTTGAAGTTTCGCCCCTGACTGGAATCATAGGGCCGCAGGTTCGACTCCTCACAGAGGATCTAGTGTTGCATTTTTGACTCGTGGGAGCACAGAGGCGGACTGGGGGAAGGGGCAGAGGGAGAGGGGGGAGATGTCAAATTCGCATTCATATTTGATGACCTGCTAAGAATTTCGGGTTTCAGGGAGATGTGTACTAATTAAATGGAATAGCCCCAAATTTTCAGCAGGTTATCCTCATAGTCATTTACTGTTGAAATGCGTAACTGTAGTTTAGGATGACCCGTGGTTCACAAAATGTAGTTTAGGATGACCCCTGGTTCACAAACGTTTTCAAATTTTTACAAGGTTGTGCAGCTTTAGGCAAATTTACTTAGACATTTCGTTTAAAACCTATAGCTATCAATATAACAGAGCAACCTGACTATGAACCAATAAGGAAAATTAGCTTGAACATGTCCTCACAGGGACCGTTTATTATTTATACCCGGGGTTGGTACCGAAGAGAAGCGAAAAACACTGTAAATTTTTATTTACCCAACCTTAACATTGGTCAAAATAATGTTTACCCAACCCATGTGTTACTACTATACTTCATAGTAATTAAACACACAAGATTATGGTGACAGAAATCAAGTTGCCTAAATTCGAAAAGCTCACTCACACTGAAACTTACTGAGTGTGTCAATATGGTCAAAGCAATCACGTTCCTTCTGATCAATGAAATAGTCCTTCCTCAGCCACTGATGGTCTATTTTGATACAGAATGTATTGTACATATTTTTCTTTATGTTTTCCAATGCATGGTAATTTTGGGTTTATTTTATAGCTGACAGACAGCCATAACTTTTTTTTACCCAACCCATGAGCTAGTCAAAAACTTGATTACCCAACCCATATCTCTTCGGTACAAACGCCGGGTATAAATGAACGGTCCCTAAATCACACATTTTATAGCTAGAAGCAAGTTCGAAGTTACCAATCAGACTGCAATTTAAATTAATGTGCTACGAACGCAACTATTGAGCATTATTCAGTTTTTACATTTAGAATATTCAGAGTATGCTTATCTACTCAAAGATGTCAAGTACATATTGAGAGCCAGAATGTTCCCTGCGTTATCACTGGTTGAAAATTCACGGAAACATTTTGGACACTGAACTTTCGATAGCGTTCCAGTAAATGCAGTAACCAACGACGTTTGCTCACATTCTGGGCACGTGTATTCCGCAAATTCCAGGCCTTCTAAGAACTCTATCTATCTCTTGGCCAATTTGGATCCATGCTTTCGATACTTCTCTTGCTCTTTTTCAGTCAGATCATCCAACTCCCAGTAAACATCGAAGAATTCTAGCTGATCACCAAGGACTTCTGCATTTTGCACTCTGAAGAATCCATTGTCGGCCCATTCTTCTCCCCAGGAATTCATGAAGGTTAAACACTTGCTGTTGTAACTGGTCAAAACGACAGCATGACCAGAAGTGCGATGTGGAGGACTTGTATGGCGCTTACGAACATCAAGTTCATTTTGGGTGAGTATACCAACTGGATTGGTGTCGTAGAAATTTTCAAAAGCATCCCACGCGTCGTTTGTAAGATAAAATTTTGCTGCCACGGGACGTTTCTTGACAATGGCTTGCTTCGCCCCCTTGATGCTGACTTTGCGGCAGTGTAAACGATATTTCTGGCATATTTTCTTCAGAACTTCACTGGTATGAGCACGGCTTTTCCCATGCTCGCGAATCATTTCATCTTTTAACTCGTCATGAAACTAGGATATTCTCCTTCTCGACCATGAATTCGTTGCATTGTCGAGAATGTTTGCCTCCAAAACAGTAGTCCTCGACAAATCACATTTATATATAAGTTTTAATAGAAAATATAAGAATACCCAAAATCACATTGTATGCTCGTCGCAGCTCTCACATCCGTTCTCTCTCACTGTCATGATGACACTCACTGATACCTTCTATGACTAATCTCCCTAATTAACTATCCCTCCCTAAAGTGTTATACGATATATCTTATCTGTTTGGTCAGTTCCCAACAGCATTGCCAAATGGAGCACAACAGCGGATGCAAACGCATAGCAGGTTAAATCTTTCCCCTGATCCTTTGCTCTAAAACCACTCGTGGTTTGGTTGATATATATGTCCAGGTGAACAGATACCAGCAATTCAGATAGCGCATCTGAACTACAGACAACACTTTTGGCCATTTCGCATGCTTCCCTGAAAGTAACTTCATAAAAGTTCAGAATTTGGCGTGCCCATAACATATCATCTATCAGCCATGAAAGGCTTCTATAATTATCTGTTTATGCATGTCCCCCAACCCTTATGAGGTGCTGAAAATGATTTTATTAATAGCTTAGAACTTGAGGATGTTCCTATGAGAAATGAGAAATGAGTATGAGAAAGTATGAGAAATTTCCAGTAACCGGCGGTATGTATATACCGGGAAAATTATATAGATATCGCGTTTTATTTCAAATCCGACTATGGGGACTGGACTAGATTTCAAGTCCGCGCAATTTGATCAAGTCTGAGGAAAATCCGAGGACTGGATCAAAATGAGAGGACTTGAAATCTAGTCCACCAAATTGGAGGATTTTAAATGACATCTCATATGAATAAATCACTACTTCAAGTATAAGTTGAATTAATTTTGATCCAATCCAAGGCCTGAATTAAGTTTGATCCAGAACTAGGACTTGATCAGTATACTTCACCAGGTATCCAGTATTATCATGTGAGATTGGTACATCAGTGTTTGGGCAGCTTTTGAAATGTTTTTTTGGGTTTGATTCCCACCCTATATACCAATCCGTATTTTTCCCGTTTACGGTAATCAAGTGAGGTTCCTTTTTGTTAATGCCACCCACCCCAATGATGATTTCTTAAAAAAGGCCTAGCCTTGTTGAAGTTAATACCTTAAGTTGTCCGGATGGTTGACTTGGATGAACAACTTTGTTTCATTGTTGGCGACATCGATCGTCCAACCACGTTTGACCAAAATTGCTCGTGGCAGACGCTGTGTTGGTACTTCAGAGCTCAGCGAAAACAGAAACTTGGCTCCAGATTCCCAACCAGGTAAAATTTTGTCGTACAATCGTTTCGGATGAATATTTGTGGATTTAGTGATAAAACAGGATACTACATTGACGCCTGCTTCATCCCCGAGCCGGCGGCGCGAAGCGCCGTGCGAGGGTACTAATTCCCCTGGCTATTTACACCCGGGGAAACGAAACCATTAGCGAAGTCTAAAGTTCATCAATGAGCGCGGGCGTCGGTCACCAACGATGGGTGGTCATCCTCACTGATCTCAAAAATATGGCGGACTGTCATGAATAACGGACACTGATTGGTCCAATTTAAAGTTTGCATTATTGCCATTATAACGACTGCATGACGACAGCGAAATAGCAAACATTTCTTGATTTGATGAGTTGATGATTGATAAATTTCTTGCAAATATTCTTCATTTTTGCTCGTATTTCTGCAAGATTTTGTAAATTTCAAGAAAGAAAGGGCGAAAGAATCAGCTAAAAGAAGGGAGCCGACGTTAACGAAGGTAAGTTTGTTTTAAATATTGATTTTATAATGGCTTTAAATTAAAACCCGACGGCCTTTGCGTATATGAAACAAGTTAAACAAGTAAACAAGACAGCATATAATTTCAGTGTATCTGTTTCGCATCTACGCCAACCGGGGAGACGCTACTTTGTTTGAAGCAAATCACATTGAAATACCCAAATCTGTTTTCTCTTTCTGCACTAATACTTTATTTTGTAAATAGTCAACTATATAAATCAAGCAAAATTACAGCTATTACAACAACTCAGATATACTGACAATTGAAGGTTGCAGCAAGACTGACTTACAATTCGTGAGGCATAATCTGAGTATCCTTGCCTTTTCCTAAGTTATTATTTTTAAGTTTTTGTTCACTGTATTTAACATAACAAGTTCGCTTTTTTAGTTTCTTTCTTTCCAATTCCGCGAAGCTTCCTCGCCGTTTCACTTCCTCCGTCCCACTCCCCTCTCAACACCGGCGATCGCAATATCTTAACACTCTCCCCCCGTGCGGAAATTAAATCTCTAATTGAGCAACGTCTAACACAATATACTGAAAATACTTTAGGAATGCAAAGAATCCATTGTCACTACAATCATTCTGTTCTAGTTATACTAGTCTGCATCAAGTTCTTCTCTGGTGGCTATAAGACACAGCTTGTGGATGGGTCTGTCATATTCTCCTGTTTGCGTCTTCATTCTTACTTTTCTCACAAGACCGTCGCTTCCGGGATGAACTTCGGTGATAAGTGCCATCTTCCATTGGCATCTTTTATGTTTTGGATCAAGCTCCAGAACCAGGTCCCCTACTTGAACGTTGTCTCTTTTTCGGAACCACTTGTTGCGGGGTAATAGATTGGGTGCAAAATACTTCAACCAGCATTTCCAGAAATCGACGATTCTGTTTTGTGTGCATCGTAAAAGATCTCTTGGGTTGATTCTATCTTCCGGGGTTGGCTGAGGTGGTGAATTATGCTGCCCAAGAAGGATATCATTCGGTGTTACTGGTGGACTCTCCCAAACGCCATCCGAACTGCGATACAAAGGGCGACTATTGATCACGTAGCTGATTTCTGCGAGGAATGTTGACCACTGTTCTGCCGTAAACGCTTGACTCTTGCAGGTAACATTGAAGGCTTGTCGGACGGACTTAATAAGAGACTCGACGACACTGTTCTGATGACTGGCATGAGGCACATTCCACAGCCATTTGAAATCGCACGAGAACTCCTCGGTCAGTACACTCTGGATTCTAGCGTTGTCCCAATTCTTCATTATTTCGTTCAGATAACCTTGTGAACCGACGAAATTAGTACCACAGTCTGACCAACAGACATTGGGATGGCCGCGTAAGCATGCGAAACGGCGAAATGCCAACAAAAATGTCTCTGTGCTTTTATCGGTGACGAGTTCCAGGTGAACTGCTCTGGTCGTCATGCAGGCAAAGATTATCACTTGGGCTTCCTTGAGTGTCTTTCTGTTCATTCTGATCTGCACCGGTCCAAACATGTCCATTGCGGTATTGGAAAATGGTGGTAGTCCGGCCGCGAGTCGAAGACTTGGGATTTGGCCCATCAGTTGGTCGAGGGGTTTCTTTCGCAATTTTCTACAGATGATACATCTTCTCGTAAGTTGTTTACACATACTACGTAGACCGATGATCCAGAACCTCTTTCTTGCCTCGTGCATTAAGCTCTTGTAACCGCAATGTCGCCGTTTGTCGTGGAGGTGCTGCAGAAGTAATTTGACCAGTGGGTGGTTGCGTGGTAAGATGATTGGATTTCTCATTTCCTCTGGGAGTGATCTGATCTCTTCCAGGCGTCCGTGTGCTCGTTGAAGGCCATCCTGGTCCGTCCTTGGAAGAAGTTTTTCTTCGAAGCGGGATAGGTCTAGAGAGTCTTGACACAACTTAAAATGGTATTTTTCTGATATTTGTAGCTCCTGAGCGGTAATAGTCCCTTTTTTCATATTCATCTTTCTTGCATTTTGTGTGAATCGCAATATGTAAGCCAGTGTTCTCCGAACCTTTGAAAATGAAGAACAAGCCGCCATCAAGTGACAAAGAATGGGATTTTCTTTCTTCTCTTCAGTAGCTAAACAGACGTTGACTTCATTAACTTCCTTGTTACAATTGGATGAAAATGATGATTTCTTCTCTTTCATTGTTTCCTGGAATACTGAATTGGATAATCTGAGATCTTCGTGGAACTCTGGCCACTGGGCTTCGGGAAACTTCAGGAATGATGGACCTACCAACCAATTTGCTAATTCGGCTGGTTCGATTCCCCGTGTGAGACCATCAGCTGGATTGCTCTTCGATCTGACATAGCGGAAGTCCTCTGTGCCAATCGTTTCCTGAATTTCAGCAACTCGGCTCGATACGAAAGGCTTGAATTGACGTGGTGGAGTCCTGACCCATGATAATACAGTTGTTGAGTCGATCCAAAAGATTCTTTTAAAGTCCTTCATATTCACGAACTCT